CCCAAATTTATTTTTGGCAAAATTTCAGCACTAGCACTAAATTATATGGTACTAAATTATAGTTATTAATAATATTTTTTAAAAAAACAACATTTCTAGTAGTCTGTTAAAATATTTATTTGTGTAAAATATACACTGCCACTTATGATGTGTAAATTTTTTCCATCTCCATCAGTCTGTTAAGATACATTGGCATATCACCAATGTGTAAAAGGGTTATGTATTTTACACAACCTTTTTTACACTGCCAGATCAATATATTTTCTTTCTTATACATTTTTCTCATTCCATTAAAGAATCAACCATGTATTAAGTAGGTTTGTAAAAGTTATATGGGGTCCTGACATAACATATGGCTGGTTGTTATTGAGAGATATATTTTTACACAAAAGGTATAAAACAACCGTTGGAGATAAATTAAATAATTCACAATTTTTATGTAAATCCATCATGACACATCAGATCTACACCAAAAAAAAAATATATACACAACGGTTGGAGATCTCCAGCAGTCTGTTAAAATACTCTTTTGTGTAAAATATACACGGCCACGTATGACGTGTAAATTTCTCTAATTAGTCTGTTAAGATATACTACCACATCACCAATGTGTAAAATTGTTTTATATTTTTACACAACCTTTTTACAGAGCCATATCAACATATTTCATTTCTCCTCCCTCTTTCTTATTCCATAAAAGAATGAAGCCTATATTAAGTAAGTTTGTAAAAGTTATGTAGGATCCTGACATGACATATGATTGGTTATTAAAGTATCTCCAATTGTTGTGTATATATTCTTGTGTAAATCTGATGTGTCATAGTAGATTTACACAAAAATTTTGTAGTACCTATTTTTAGCTCCAAAGGTTGTTTTATACATTTTATGTTAAAAAATATCCCTCAATAACAACCAACCACATGTCATACCCAAGGCCCTACATAACTTTTACAAACTTACTTGATTCATTTACTTTTTCGCGATTAAACTTCACGTCCCAATCTTCTCAATTAGGAAAAAAAATAATATTTTCCCCCTATATTTCACTTTCTACATAAACAAAAAATATAAACAACAATTGCGATTGAATTGACTAATCACAAAAAAAGAAAAAAAATAATAATAATTTGTATAACTGTATCAAACAACAATTATATAAAATCGTGATTAAAATATATATCTAATATTTGGCTAATACATATTTATCTCATTAGAATAGAATGTAAAAGGATAAAAAATCTAAAAAACCCCTAAATTCTACAATGATGATTACAGAAGATAAGATGAAATGAAAGTGATAAATCAAACTATTTTTATTAAAAAAGAAAAATTAAAAATAAAAGATGGTCAAACAGTTCTTACGTTGCTGCCAATTGTAAATTCTTCTCTATGGCGCTCTAACAGTAGGAGACAAAGAGGGGTAAAGGAATAAGAGAGAAAAAGAGAACCGAGTGTGGGAAAGGGGGAGGAGAGAGAAAATAAGCTTACGTGGCTGTGTAAAGGGTTGCAAAACTTAGAGTTGAGCTTTTATTTGATTATTTCAATTGTAACTCTAGGTTTGAGAGCTTTGATTTGTATATTTTTCTATTTTGAGAGACATTCATTATAAGCTTCATTATATATTCATTCTTAAGAGAAAAAGACCAAGAGGTGCTCTTGGTAAGGGAAAGCTTGTTTAAGCTATTGTAAGGGTTCTCTTTCTCAACCCATAAAAGAAAGAATATGTCTCTCTAATGAGAGGATTTGGTTTGCATTTTCTCTTCTCTCTAATCTATACTCTCTTTACAATTTATTGTATCTTTATTTACTCAATCTTTATATATCAAATGTTTAGTTTATTTTGAGTAGAATAGTTATATAAATTAATTAACTAGTATGTGAAGCTTAATTGATTTTATGAGGAGGATTGGATGAATGCTTGGATTAAGTTGAATGAGTGATTGATTTTAGCTTAGACTAATGTTCTATATTTGATTCCTTTATTGCATACCAAGTGTTTGACAAAATGCATATTCAACACATCATTTACCTTTAGAGTTTATATATACACCAAGTGTTTGATAAATTTGTTGTAAACTCTATGATAATGTGTTTCATGACATTTGCACCTTGAAAATTAATCACATCAATATTGTGCAAATACTAATTCTAAATGATAAGTTGAGTTGAATGCATTGAAACTTAAAGGAATTCATTTATTTGAATCAATAATAATCACACCTAGTTGCATGACTAATTAGCATGATTCAATGTACAAATGAATTGGTCATATGCTAAAGCAAGCTCATTGTTTTACATTCCAAATATTAAGTGGTATCTACACTACATCTCATTAGAAAAGCATTCATCACAATGAATCATATTTGACTCTAAAATATATGGACAAATAAGTCTATAGTTTTGCCAATGACCCTATTCACTCCCCCCCCCTCTAGGGTCATTACTTAGGTAACAACAAATTACAGAAATAACTTTAGTGAAATTTGCCTATATATATATATTCAAACTAACACATTTTATATATATATATTTTCTTTTTTCTTTCTTCTTGTTTCTTTTTTCTTTTTTCTATCTCCATTACATCCGGCGATTACAGCGCCACCACCGGCTACCACTGCAGCACCACCATCCCTATCTTCGTAACTGCCACCACCATTCCCAACCCACAACCACTAGCGGCCAATTAAAGGCTTGTGTCACAAAATTCTCAATCGCCATCATTTGGTTTCAGATTTTTGATTCCTCGGAATTGTTTTCTCCATAATTCTGAGATATCAACTGGAATTCTTTTTCTTTCTCTTCCTCGATTAGGACTCGTCAATTGCTCCGGTAACAGTCCAGACACCAGTAAAGCGTTGAGAATGTGATCTCTTTCTCTCTCTTTAGAATTCATAACTTGGCTGATCCAATCCAGTGCTTTTATTGTAAAAGTGATCAGTATGGTTGGATGATCACATTCGTAGATTATATTAGAAAAGTAATACAGACTAGATCAACGGTGATGGTTGCTGTAAAATATGGTATATGTAATGTTATTTGCGGATTAATATATAAAAAGGTAAAATAGGTTTGAATAAAACGACTACGTTTTGTGCCAATAAATTTGCACATGTGGTCGTTTTATGCATTGATTAGTTAAATGTTACTAAGGTTATTTTTGTAATTAATAAAATACTGTTTTTGGCTTTTTAAATCAATTGGTATATTAGAAGGGTATTTTTGTTATTTAATTACAACACGGTGCAATGTGATCAAATTTCATAGTGTTAGGGATTTCCTAAAGTGATAGTATCAGGGGTTTCGTGAAATTTGCCCTTTTAATTTTAGCAGGAATTTTTTTTTTAACGAAAATGATAGTAGAAGTTATGTGATTTTTTCTCAAAAAAAAAAAAAAAAGAATAATATTAATAACAACCATTATTATGATAATCTTTATTGTAACATACTTTATTTATACACACAGTCGCACACATATATATATTATTTGTTATGAATCAGAGAGAAGAAAAAAAATACTGTTGACAATCTCAACTGTTCTTAATTTGCTCTATTTTTTTTGTTTTTTTCTATAAACGCATGCTCTTATTAAAAATAAGTATTTTATTTTATTTTTTAAATTTAACTTTATATTAATTAATTTGGCCCCCCAAATATTTTTTCCTGCGCCGCCACTGACTACGGGATCTCAGAAATTCTGGAAGATGTCCTCAAATTCATAGAAGTTGGTAACATCTTCATTCAAAGTTTACAATTGCTTGGATACTAGCGTCGGCTAACCTGATCTTTCAAGAAAAGCAAAGCCTAAGATTCGGTTTGATTAGATGCTTTGATTTTCTTTGAAATATCATATTAGTTTGTCCAAGAAAATAATGTCGAAATCAAAGAAGCTTTTGGCAAGAGCCTTGTTCAACATCTCTTCTTCATTCAAAGTTTATGAGATTAGCAATGTGCTTTATTTGAATCATGCAATTGTTAAGTTTATATTATAGTACTCGAGCCCTCCATTTTCTTTGAAAGATGAGATTAGTTAAGTGCTTTATTTGAACTATGCAATTGTTAAGTTTATATTATAGTGAAAGATGAGATTAGTCAAGCGCTTTATTTGAACTACGCAATTGTTAAGTTTATGTTATGGTAGTCGAGGCTTCCATTTTCTTTAAAATATAAGATTAGTTAAGAGTCATGTTGACACACAATTTGAATAATATCATACCTAGGGATGACAATTTGACCCGCCTCCATGATTACCCGCCCCATCTCGTCCCGTTTTTGGTGATTTTGGGAAACCGTTTTGCTTATTTGGGCGTGAATAATTTGATGTAATAAAAATCCGCACGGGTTTGGTGTGGGGTCAGGGAGAGGTCGCCCTGCCCCGTTTAGATAAGCAAATTACTTAAGTACCCTTATTTTATTAGTATATATATTTCCCACTATATATTAATAACCCTATATAACAATATTAAAGTAACAAATGAATTTGATTAAAAGAAAGGTTGCAATGGTAAATAATTGAAAAAAAAAAAAAAAAAAAAAAAAAAAAAAAAAAAAACACAAATCTATTTCAATAATAAATAAATTATGGTCTTAAACGGGGCGGGGCCGGTACCCGCAGGGGTAAAAATGTTAAACGGCTACGGGGATGGGGTGAAAAGTTCTCCCGTTTTTGCGGTTTTGGACAGAGGACGGAGGCGGAGTTTTTAAACGGTTGCAGGGGTGGAGGAGGGTACACCGGCTCAAACCCACCTCCGTTGCCATCCCTAATCATACCATGCGGTGAAATGAGTAGTTACAATCACTCTTTATTTGAACCATTTGCCAAAGATGCTGGTCCCGTGCGGTGATCCATATTCCCAAATATGGCTTTAGTATAGTGCGGATCTTCCAATATGTTCAAAAACATGCATTTAGCAAGTCAATAGACACACATAATATAGGTTATACCTACCAAAGCAACAATATGCATCAACAACACTTCAAAGTTTGGGAATTGAGAAACTATATTACAAGAGAGACAACAATCTATTCTCTAGAGTGATTGAAAAAGGAAAATATTTACATATCAGGCAAGGAGGTTTCAAGTCCAAAAACCAAATCCTGATCACAACGTGGATTTCGTTCAGCGATTTAATTACAAGAGCAGCAATTCATGTGAAAAAATGTGAGTTCAAAGTTCCGTGTTCATGCCCCAAATTCACAGCACTCTTTTTATGGGGTTTTCCGTGTTCTTGCTCCTGCGCGGATAATTTGTACCTGTATTTCTCTGCCCCTGCTTCTTTCTCTGTCAGGAAGAAACTCAAATAGGCACTTGTCATTTAACGCGATACTGTTATCCTGCAAAAAATCCCTAAACCCCTGGGAGAAATTCAGCCGACCATCCTTCCTTGGAACAATATTCACAGGCCACGACTTCCGATCCTGATCACATAACACCATTTGTGGATTGATTTTAATATCATTATTGGTCGCAATGCTTTTAGGAATGGTCTGCAGCCACAGATAGCGTAATAATAAGTAAATCTTGTTTAGACAAGCACAATAAAAATACCATATCAAAGTAACAAGCAAAGAAAATGACCAAACTAGGAGAGGCTGATCATTGTAATTTCAAATTCATAACTGAAACCTGCTAATAGGTGTTCTACAGTGACATATACTGCAACAACAAAAACAAAATTCAATCAACTATACTCGGTTGAACAACGGATTCTTCCATCTAAAAAAAGAAATTACACACGAACATAATCTACACCGTACAAATCAACATTCCATAAAATAATAACACCATAGCATGATAAAATTGGAATTCAACTATCAGAGTAAGTAACATACACAAACTCCAATGATCAACTCTATTCTGTAATATCTCGGGGGTTTGAGCCTTTGATGTAATATTAAATCAAAACAGAGAGGGTAAGCAGATGCATTTTATATACTCTGGGTTGGTTAAGATACACACAAAATGGTTTCACATCTAGTGAAAAACATGAAAGGTAAGAGCAATCTCAACCAAGATGACAAGCTGTCTGGAATTCCCTGAAATGATTTTTTTTTTTTTGGAAATATATATATGTTTATTAAATCAGTAAAAAACTGTTTCCTGCCACCCAACTTTACACAAAATTAGGAGGCGCGAGCATTTTTAACTAGTTAAATGTGAAACTGTATAGTAATCAGTCCAGTATAAGCCTGGCACTCACCACGGAGGCTGGCCTTAACCTTGACGAAGGGAGAGTTGCAATAAAATAAGGATTTTTTGGTGAGGTCATCCGTCCTGCATTAAAGATTTTCTTCTCTTGAATGGTTTCTGAAACAATTCTTTGTGGCGTAAGCTGAATTGGTCCAAGTAAACCTGTAAAGGTACATCAGATATGTAAAAGGAAAAAACCAAAATGTCAACAATGAAACGAATTTGACACAACTCACCTCTTGATTCTGGAGATATTTTGCAGCCTACTTCGGAATACTTTCTCTTGCGAACGTTAGTGTGCTTGGGAGAAGTCTGCTCTGCTTCTGTTTCTTCTTCAATCTTGACACGTGTGGCAGTCTTCTCAATAGCTAAAGTATTTTCCTTCATACATCCACTCTTACCAAATATTCTAACATCAAAAATAGAATTTCCATTGTATCTAAAAACTAAGAAGTCTCCGAGCTCTATAGAATAATGATTCACAAAGCTTTGCCAGCCATTCTTAATAAAGACACCATTTTCAACATCTTCCATCTCCACATGCCAAAATTTCCCACAGAGATCTTTAAGGATGGCCTTAGTTGGTATTGTTCCATTAAAATGCTTGACAAAATCTGGTGGTACACACTGCAAAAACGAGATATTTAACTTTACTAGTTACAAATTCAAAGAGCAGATAAACTATTCAAAATACAGCTAGGAAAATTTTCTACCTATAATTTACATTCACCATCACGCTAACCCAATTTTATTTTAATAAGAAAGTAGGATGGAAAAAATATGGGCCTGTTTCTCTTCTGATAAAAGAGGCACTCCCGTTTGGATTTGGTGGCTCAAAAAATTCAGGAAAAGGAATGAAATTAACGTTTAAATATTATACATCAAAAATTCGGGATCATAGCAAACAAAACCACAATGAGGGTTAATTTAATGAGCTATGTTTTTAATCTGCATCTCTGGAAATCCAAACATTGGAACCAGCAACCTTAGAAGGGTAATTTTACTGAAATATAATTTGATAGAATCTGAAATAATTGAATAAAGCAAAGATATAGAGCCCCAAACAACAGAACAAAATTTCCATTTCTCTCACTAGTCACTAATTCGTGTATAACATGTCTTCCTCTAATAGGAGAGCATGACAGATTGTGCAAGTTGGAGGCATATAATCCATAAAAGTTTCCCCTTCTTGATAATCTTGAAATGTAGAAAACTAACACTAAAATATTTTGCTTAGAGACCTTATTTATCAACAGATTTGAAATTGTTCAGAAACTCATTAAGCAACATTCCAGTTTCATATATAGCATCTTGCAAACAGAGCCACCATTTTACACAAGTAATCTAAGTATTGTGTATATTTTATATACCTTGATCTGTATAATATATGTATATATCATTATTTTATACTCATACCATATGACTTAAGGTGTAATGGGAACTCAACTCAGCTATATGACTGTCCGATACTTGGGTGCCATTTGATAACCCAATTAAGTGCTTAACAAAAACACTAAAAATTTCCAGCGCTTAAATTTAAGTCAACAGCGACTTGACTTAATAAAATGTGACAAGTGAAAGGGAATTCAAAATGTAGGGTAAATTACATTGACCTCCCCTAATGTTCAGCAAAATTACATGGACCGACCTTGTGTTTTAAAAAATTATACTAACCTCACCAATAACTCAATAAGAAACGTATGTTTGATGGTGTTAATGTTCAGTTTTTTTTTTTTGATAAGTAAAACTCATAAATAAAGGGGGAAAAAAATTTCCACTGCCGGGACTCAATAAGAAACGTATGTTGGATGGTGTTAATGTTCAGTTTGGTTTTACGAAAATGTGCTATATATCATCTATGTCACATGGACTCTTCCAAGAACCCCGCCCCATCGGGTACACGCCCTGTTTAGAACGGTTACAAGGGTGTTGAATGGTTTTGGGCAGGGATGGGGATTGAAAACCCGCGTGGTTGCGGGGCGGGGAGGGGAAAGGTTACCTTGCCCCACCCCATTTATACTGAGAAATTACAATTTTGCCCATATAATTTATTTTATATTAAAAAATATTAGGTATATATTAAGCAAATCCTAGGTTATCCTATTCCAATCACTAGTTATCCTTTTGTGTTATTCTGATTTGAGAACCTCTATGTAGTATTTTAATGTTTCTACAATAATACTACATATTAAATATCAAGTTCCAATTGAGAATTTGAATGTTGTTGTAACGACTCACTTCACCACATGGTATGATATTGTCCGCTTTGGGCCTGAGCCCGCACGGTTTTTTGCTCTTGGGCTTTACCCCAAAAGGCCTCATACCAATTGGAGATGACACACTTACATATAAGCATTTCACATTTTCCTTTCCCAAGCGATGTGGAATTGTGCACCCGTAGCTCGCCAGTGTGGTAGCCTATCAGTGTCTCGGCCTTTCCAAGGCGATGTGGGATTGATGACCCTGTGGGCGGGTGTGCCGTAGGTGGGTGCGACACACTGACAGGTTACCACACTGGCGAGCTACGGGTGCACAATCCCACATCGCCTTAGAAAGGCCGAGACACTGACAGGCTACCACACTGGCGAGCTACGGGTGCACAATCACATCGCCTGGGAAAGGGAAAGGGAAAGGAAAAGGTGAAATGCTTATATGTAAGTGTGTCATCTCCAATTGGTATGAGGCCTTTTGGGATAAAGCCTAAGAGCAAAATCGTGCGGGCTCAAGCCCAAAGCGGACAATATCATACCATGTGGTGGAGTGGGTCGTTACAAATGGTATCAGAGCCTGACCCAGCCAGAAGTGTATCGACGGGGGCGTCGGGCCTCCAAGGGGGGTGGATTGTGATGACCCTGTGGGCGGGTGTACCGTGGGTGGGTGCAAGACACTGACAAGCTACCACACTGGCAAGTTACGGGTACACAATCCCACATCGCCTGGAGAAGGGAAAGGTGAAGTGCTTATATATAGGTGTGTCACTCCAATTGGTATGAGGCCTTTTGGGGTAAAGCCCAAGAGCAAAACTGTGCGGGCTCAGGCCCAAAACGGACAATATCATACCATGTAGTGGAGTGGGTCGTTACAGTTGTTTTCATCCGCATAAGAGAGAGAATTATTATGATGGCTGAAAATTTGTTTCATTATTTACCATTGTTAGATTCATAGTACAATTATAAAAGAACTCTCCTAAACCCATCCCCGCCCCGCCCCGCCCTGCCATATTTAATAAACGATTTTGGGTGGGGATGGGGAGCTATGTGAAACGAGGATGGAGATAGGGTTGGCCCCCCGCTCCGTTGTTATCCCTACTTCCTTCTAAAGTAGGTAAAGTACCCGTGTCTGACACACATTAATCCTAGGGGTGCACAAAAAAACCGTGGAACCGAACCGGGGCTTCGGTTCCGGTTCCGGTTCCGGTCCCGATTCTGAAAATCTAGAACCGTGGACTTATGGTTTGGTTCTGGTTCCAAACCCGTGGGAACCGTTGGAAACCGGAACCGTATATATATATATATATATGATTACATATTTAATTATATATATTATTAATTATATACTACTGACTCATACCATACACCAGTAACAAAAGGTGTCACCCAACACTGATCGAGTGAAAGAAATGGATTTTTTAGCCGGATCAACTAAGAGGTAGGGGTCCAAAACTCTTCCACAACACGGGTCCAAAACAGGGCAATACACACACATATCATATATGTCTATATAAAGAGAAACTTAAGTGTCTTCACTCTTTTGTCCTAGTCTCCATCTATTCTTCTGATCTCTATTGGTTATGTATTCTTATTCTTATTCTTATTATACATGTGTATGCTCTTTATTGCTTCATACATACTCTTGTCTCTGTATTCCACTAGAGAACCACAACGTTTCTGCACCAATTAACTAACCATTTTGCACAACTAAAACTCACTTATGTGGTGTTTGTCTTCTTGCCCAGCTCAGAATATGTCTTGCTAGTTGCTTCCCATTTGGTCTCTTCACATTTTTGTCCTTGTTTTGTTTTTTTCGAGAAGGTAAAGATGAATTTATATATAAATGAGGTAATACAGTAAAGCAAGGTCAAGCCTTAACAAGGACACAGCCCACGAAATGTAGACGGCCCAATAACCATAAAGACCAACAAGCAAAACAACAATAACACTGCAGGCCCAGCCCCTCTCCAAGCAAACACATTCCTAGTCTAGGGTTTGTAGACTATTCATGTCTAAGCCGTGAGTCATTCCGGTGCAAACGAAATTAGGGCGAATCAAGGAGAGCAGCACCCTAACTCGATCCATCAGGTGGTTCCGCCGGCGGGCGAATGAAGGAGGCTGGAAGATTCCATTCAAACACAATTCGTCTTGCCGATGGTGAATCCCGTACCTTCTTCTGCTTTATCATATCTGTAATTTGATTGAGGAGCACTGATTGATTGAAGCTTTGGTTTTTAAACACTCTGTTATTTCTCTCCATCCAGATCCTATTGATGGTGGTTGAGAGCATAAGCTTGTTCACTGAGTTTCTTAGACATCGACTCGCCCAACGCTCTGAAGCCCACTCAACGAAGCCGATCCATGTTGAAGCCGAAGAGAGGAAATTACACTTGTATTGCAGGAAGATCCATAAGGGCCTTGTGAAGGTGCGCGCAAAAAACAGGTGATCATGCGATTCATTCATCAGATTGCAGAACAGACAGAGTTTTGGCCAGGCACATCTCGCATGCTACTTCTATCAAGTCTAGGGAGTCAATTTTGCACAGCAAGCCACAGCGAAAAGTTGCATCTTGGCACCGAAAATGGGTTCCAAAGAAGATTATACCAGTGCTTTGGTGGGTGGTTCGTCTCAAGCCAGCCAACAATGTGACTCAGAGAATGTGTGCCCGAGGTAGAGGGGATCCACACAACTGAATCCGATGAAGTGGTCGACAGGCAAATGTTACTAAGCTCAGGGACGTGCTCAATTAATGTGGCTGGGAAAGACCATGCTCCATCTGAAGCAAGAGAGGAGAGTTTCTTCCCAGGTAAAATTGGCGAGTTGAGTCTGACTTGATCAGGGATTCTGAAGGTGAGAGGTCCACCCGGTAACCAATTATCTTCCCAAAAGTAGGTGAGATCTCCACTGCCAACCCTAAGTCTCATTAGGTTCCTCGCAGCCCCCCTAAGCTGTAGAACTCTCTTCCAATTGCTCGAGCAATTCTGCGGGATGACAATAGTCCAGAAGCATCTATCCCTAATCAGCTGTATTCTCACCCACTGTGCCCAGAGGTTGTCCCTTCTATTAGAGATGAGAGTCCAAATGTGTTTTAGAGATGCCGCATAGTTTGTAACTTCCAAATTTCTAAATTCAAGACCCCCACACTCTTTAAGTTGGCAGACTTTATCCCATGCGACTTTTACTCCAGAGTGTTTAAATTTTGTTCCAGTCCATAAGAAATTCTTTAGCAGCTTGTTGACCTCAGTTAGGACTGATTTGGGTAGTACAAATAGGCTAGACCAATAGTTGATCATGCTCTAAAGCACTGACTGAATGAGTTGTATTCTGCTCGCATAAGATAAGAAGTTAGAAGACCAGTGACAAATTCTTCTAGTGATGTTCTCCACCAATCCTCGACAATCAGTATCCCTAAGCCGAGTAGAAATTAAGGGTACCCCTAGGTATTTGAAAGGTAGCGAACCCTAGTCAAACCCCAACAAATCTCTAATCTCATTAACAAGAGGGGAACCAATTCCAGAAACAAAAAACTGGCTTTTGGAGCAGTTGATCTTCAGTCCCGAAAGGAAGGAGAAGTGGTCGATAGCACGCTTGAGTGTAGAGATGGAGGCTATGTCCCATCTCTTAGTTGGGTTGGTAATCTTCTTAGTTCTGATATATTTCAGAGAGAGGACTTGAGATTTGAGGTGGGTTTTTTTGGGTTTTCTTTAAAATAGAACCGTGGAACCGAACCGGTATATCATTTAATCCGTGGGTTACATAGGATATGTATTACCCATACCCGACACACTATTAACATAGTATGTCATTTAATTCCCATTAATGAGAGTTATATTGGCTTTACATTCAATACCAGGACAAAACAGGTGCATTCAACTTTCTTTCTTTATTTTTATTTTTTGGCCACAACTCCTGTCTTTGACAATCAGGCAAACTTCAATACAATAATTCTTTAATAGCATATCTATTTTTGCGTAACACTAGTGGAGAAGTCAATCTAATTTATCCTACAATTTAATTTAACCAATGAATTTATCCTTCAAAATTTTCAGTTATATAATCAGCACTATAAATTCAAAATTAATATTTTTCAATGCCTATTGATAATTCAAACAGTACTACTTTCAATAAATAAATGTGTCAACCAAACAAAATTTCCAATTTTCTTTTTCATTTTTTTTTACCAGTCAGCCCATGAAGTTCCAATCTTTTCTGTTTTCTTTCCTCGCGCTTCCCAGCATCCAAACAGAACAGTCAGTAATAATTCTTAGGATTAATCTGGTCTATCAAAAGGAGGACTAACTTGGGTGTTGATTAGACATGCAGACTATATATAGAAAAAAAAAAATATATATATATATATATAGAGGAGAGAGAGAATACCAGTTGCTGAGAGCTCTTCTGGGGAAAATAAACTTTGAAAAACTCAGGATTGTTGTCAGAGGAGGAGGATTTAGGACGACGACTAAAACGTCTCACCATTTTTTGGGGGTGTATTGTGAGCAGACAGGACGCTTGAAAGCATAATCAAACAAACCCTAGTTGGGGTAAGAGAAGAAAATATGGTAATTACCATATAAGCCAGAAAACAGACGTTGTTGGAATTAATAGATTCTAACCAAAATTGGGAACGACACGAATCGAAAATGCATGGGGCTATGTGTGTGTTTATTGCGTGCGATTGTCGGTGGGCGTGATGGTGGAAAGCCAGTATTCCAACGTTCTTTCTCGTTTTTTTTATCTTTTTTTCTTATTTGTTTCTCGTTTTCCAAAACTAAGGAAATTCCCCTCGTTTCCCAAAAATATATATATATATTGATATATATAAATAATAAATATATACATATATATATTCCTTTTTAAGAATCGAGTATGGAGTAGTTTTTAATACAGTATTTTTTAATATAATAGCGCGAAATGAATTTTTTTATATAAATTCCCGTGATATCTTACTTTAAACTTCAATTATTTTTATATCTTGAAGTTAAGATGGGTAAATTAGAAATATTAAAAATTAAAAAAAAAAAAAGGTACTTTAATTTTTGAAATGAGACAATTATTTTGAGAGAGCAAAAAATAAAAAGGTTGAACAGATCTAGTTGAGTTATAAACGAATTTGAAAGGATTATATACTAACACAGCAACACAATTAGTGTGTTAATTTTAATCGACACGATTACGTATTAAAAAACTCAAATCACTTATTTCCTATCATGTTCGAGTCGTGTTCTTATACCATGTCAAATGTTATCACATTTAGAAAATCTCCCATCATTCGTCAGACAAATTTCAAACGGGCTATGTCCCAAAAATAATTGCCACTTCAAAAAAGTCAAACAAAAACAATGCTCTCTTTTCAGCATTATCATTTAACTTTTCAAAAATATTTTAGAAGTATGAATATTTAAACTTAAAAACATGAACTAGTAATTTTAAAAGGGACAACATTAATTGTACATCCCATTAAAATCTTTTAATATTAAAGTTAAGTATGACATCTAAAATAGGATGGAGGGAATAATAATACTCAATTTTTAAATAATTGTATTTTTATTTATAAAATTTTGAATATTTACATAAACAACCCATAACTTTAATCTTTTGTCCCATTACCTTTTTTTCTTCTTCCACTCATGCCTATGCACATAAACAGTAGCCAATAACTCCCTCCTCTTCGATCTCTATCTTCACCATCCCTTCCCTGCATCATCCACAGCCTAGTACGAGAATCCTTGAACTCAAATACTTTTGATTTGAAAGATAAAGGAGATATCATTGAGTTATTAATTTTAGTAGTATATTTAGTAGTGTTGCAGCATTTATAAAATATAAATTAATTCAGAATAATTATGAATGTATTTTTTTTAAAATACTATCAATCTATAATTAAGTTAACTATTATTTGATTGGATTTTTTTAACTTTTTTTGTTAGCTTTTAAAACTTCGGGTTAGACTTTCGGACTTAAGCTGGGCCAGATAGAGTAGGGATACCTACTCCACATTTTAAGTAGGGATTAAATATTTTATGTTTAGAGGAGAACAAATTTGCACTATGCACCTTAGTATACTGTTTCTCATGCATGTATAGAATAATAATAATTACTGAGCCCTTTGAAGAGATTAATGTTGAAAATGACATTGATCAATGTGGTCACTTACTAATCCTTAGAAAAGCATTGTTTTATCCAGTTAAGCGCATATGCAGATAATATAATCCAATTGATGGAGTATTTGCAATTCTGCAGCAAATCTGAAACACACACACACATATATATATATATATCATCATCTCCATTGTCAAATTCTGCATCTCATTTTCATTTTAGCATTACAAAAGAGAGAAGTTGGACGGAACCCAGATGCTGCAAACCACATTCAAACATACAAAAAGACTTGTCATGCAACATTAAGTAGTTCTGCCGAACAGGCAACAAAAACCACTGGATTTCAAATCCTGGCAGACCAAAAAAAACCTAATGTGGTACCTCAGTCATCCAGAGATGCTGTCCACACATGAACTGGTGGAACTTGAATGATTCATGTTAGGCTCTGCTTCATTCTCTGATGAAAGATCGATTACAATTTGCTTAACAACCAGAGTGTCCTCATTCATCCCTATCAACCCCTTATCAAGCCCATTGCTTTTACGCCTCTGCCTTAATCTTCCAGCTATGCTATCTGGAACCGGTTCACGAGTAACAACAGGTTTCTTGGATTTTGGAATGCTTCTCTGTGCAACACTGTTATCACCATGTTCGTAATCCAAGAAATGCATTTTCTCCTCTTTATAGCCCTTGGACTTGTGTTTGTTGTCTTCAATTTCAGGCTCAGTGGCAAGTGCGGACTGTGCAACATTGTTAACACCATGTTCATCATCCAAGAAATGCATTTTCTCATCTTTATCACCCTTGGATGCATTATCTGTTTTGTTGTCTTTAAATTCAGGCTCAGTGGCAGGTGCAAGCTTGTTTTTAGGCTCCGAGCTAGTCTCTATTGCAGTATTGCAATCACCATATTCGCTCTTCGGAAATTGAATTTCCTCTTCCTTGCTTTTGAACTCGTCATCTGTTTTATTGTCTTCATTAGGGTTTACCAAACCTTGGTGCTTATCCTTGGACTTGTTATCTGTTTTGTTGTCTTCAAACTCAGGCACAGTGGCAGGTGTAGGCTTCTTTTTAGGCACTGAGCTAGTCTCTATTGCAGTGTTGCAATCACCATATTCACTCTTCGGAAATTGAATTTCCTCTTCCTTGCTTTTGAACTCGTCATCTGTTTTATTATCTTCATTAGGGTTTACCAAACCTTGGTGGTTATCCTTGGGCTCAGGAGATTCTTTCTCCTTGGACATTGCTTCCATATCTGAGAAGGGCAGTGATCTTTTTGCAGAAACTGGAAGGTTAGTACCTGGAATTTTTCCTGGAATGGTCTGTGCTCGATGGGTTTGAATAAGATAATGTGCAACTGACTTGAAGCCCAGTTGTGAAATCTGGAAAGTGGACATATTGAACTTAGCTCCAATTGCACTTCAGGAAAATATGTGAGAACATACGAGGAATGGTTGTGAGGCTACCTTCCTATAGAGAGAGCCAGTTGGAGGCCATCCTTTAGCTTGACGACACAAACTGCAGTTGCAAATTCCACGACATGCTGGGCAAAGCCAGTTTGGATTCTGTTTTGCTTCAAGAACGTGTTCCCCATATCTGCACAAAGAAGTTGTATATCCTAGAAGCATCAAACAAAAAATTTATCCAGGGTATATGTGCAGTGATCAGCTAACTTTAAACATAAAAATCATGACATAAATGCCTTTGAGCCAGAGCAATTCTAAATGGATAAGATATTGATTTCCAAATTGAGGTGGTTAGATTGTCTATGTTACAAAGTACCGTATATCTACCAGGGTATAGAAGACAAAAGGCTAAGCACTTGTAGAATTTGGCAGCATCATGATAAAATGTACTGGAAGCTCGAGACACACTCAAGTGCAAACTTCAAATGAAGCTTGAATGAAGCCAGATACTATATAATTTTTTTTTCCCAAGTTAAGCCAGATACTATAATTTGACTGATAATTTTAGAAGAATGCATGAAGTGTAAAAATTAAGAACGAACTAAGCCTCCCAAGCTGACAATGCACGCAAGTATAAGGGAGGTACACAACCAAACAATGTTCTTTAGCTTCTAATGGAACAAAAATGACATTAAGACGAGGTGTACGGTTAAATTTTAGGCATGCTCATCTTATGCGGCCATTATTTGATTTAGATGACTTTCAAATTGACCAGCTGATGGGGAAAAAATAAATCAGACTATAAATTGCAATCAAACTCAGATGCCACGATAAATGTTATTATGCTTTTGAAGCAAAATGAAAGTGACATATAAAGTACCAAACAAACCATTTGAGCTTGGTGAATTCGCAGCCTAAGACAAGCTGCTATACTCATTTCAGTTGCTAAATCAACAGCTTTACTTGACTGAACATGGTTTGGGACCTCAATTAGGCTTGCGGGTACTTCAAAAGTATATACCACGGTGCATTTATTAACAAAACTAATCACTCCCATTTAAATTTGGACTAATCATTCACCTTTATGGGTATTAACAAACATTTGATTTACAATCTATATAAACATCAAAGACATTATACACATCATGGGAGAGGTAAGCCTGGTAACACCATGCATTACTCATGAGCTATTCATGAGAGAGGTAAGCCTGGTAACAGCATGCATTACTCATGAGCTATTCATGAGCTATTACTGGTGGTTTCCGAATAAGTGACTTTACCCTGACTTGTGAGCTTGACACGGCAGCATTTGCAGCAGCATCCTTTTTCCATAACACCACATGTACCTCGTCCAATTGAATGAGATCTCGACAGAGCTATAAAGTAAAAAGTCTTTCTCACAGGAAATTATCTCCAGCAATCTCCGATAGATCCGTAGCCAACTGAATAGGTATTTGTATTGCAAAGCCTTCTTCTCTTTAAATAAGCCTCATCCGGAATTATACTGAGCAAAGACCTTTTCTCTGCAGATAACTAACCACAAAGACCTAATTATGGTTAAGGTTTGTTACCTTCTCCACAGGCAACACTCTCAAGGGCTTCCTCACAATGATAAGCCTCAACTAAAGACTTACCAGGACTTCCTCGCTACAAATAACACTCGTTGCCTTCTGTATAGGCGACTATCATGAGGACTTCCTTGACGCAAATGAGACTCCTTGCCTTCTTTATAGGCACACGACACAGCCTATGGCTGTGTGGCTAACATCCATGATTTGGAGATCAAAGCGAGGACCTCTTCTCCCCAGATAAGCTTCATCACAATGTACCTAACTCTCTAGAGAAAAATCTTGCTGAGGTTTCAAAAAACATCACGAGGACCTTCTTACTAAGGATAAGCTCGTTGAAGACCTGTAAAACACTTCAATAAATTTTATGAATTGCCAGCCTCTCCTTAAAGCTTGCACATACATCAATCATGCTCAAACAAAGAGAGAGATCACCAACTCACAGAATGATCACACAGTACCATGTGATTACCCATTTACAGAATATTGTAACTGGCCTCTTTAAATGGTGTCTTATCACATTATGAACGCTATACTTCAAAGTATTCACCTAATCTCAGCAGGTAATCATGATCATCAGCCATACCTAAATAGTGTCCCAAGCAAGCAAACTTAGAGCCACCTAAATTTTGTCTTAGCAAGCTGCAAAGAAGACGCATAAACTTTTTCTGTAGATCACCTCAGGCACCATAAATAGAGCTTGACCTAGAATTATAGAGGCCTAAAGATCTCCACTCGCCAACCCTTTCAAAAGATACTCCAACTAACTCATTAATTCACTAAAGACCTTGAGAATCCTTTAAGCCAACTCTTTCACCTCTCCGAGTCTCCCCTGTAGATCCTTGACCTCAAGGAGTTGGTGGTCACTATCAGACTGCCATGGTCTCTCTTTCTCTAAGGCTCGACTTGGCTTCCACCTTTGCAAGGACTAGTGACTCTCATTATATCTCGGGTAATACCTCTTTCATCCTTATCCTCAGCATGAACCCACTAAAAAAAAAAATCAATCCCATTCACTGAAGAAATAAAAAATTTAATTCTAGCCAAATCCTATGTCACAAGAATCGCAGATGCCAACCAGAGTGTCCTTGTCGACATGACACAACATGGACACAGGATATGAGTCGGACTTTTTGTCTTGTCTACCAGACACGACTGATGACAAAACCAAACAAAAGGATGCGTGGGTGGTTGATGCTAATGAAGAATTAGGAAAAAAAAAATTCATGTTTTATTTGTTAAATAGGCTAACAGTCACGGTGTTAGGATGCTCACTAGTTCAAAAATGGTGGTCCGGTTCGAAAATAGCATCTTGGAAAGGTTGAAGATGACTTTCATGTTTACGCACACGCTATCTATGCCCAATTTTTGTGCCTGGCTGAGCCAGTTTTCACACGTTAGCATGACTATTGACCAATATGTTTTTGGATGCCCTGTTTTTAATGGTCAAGATGATGCCATATGTTCATTCGGATGTAAACTTTTAGCCTCTTAGGAAGAGTAATTATCTACAGACTACAGCTGTAAACCATTAGTGACAACTGTATAAAAGGAGAACAAGAAAGCGTACATGGTATCTATATGTAAAGAAAATCATCCATAAAAAATCATACAATTTTTTTTTTCCTTACAAGTGTCCAAGTAATATTGGACATTTTTTAGCCGAGTCCATGTATCCTATAATTTGATAGATTTACAAATCCAATCCCTAGATACGCATCCGTACCCTAGTCCAAGTAACATAGGCAAGCAAAATCATCTTAGCGATGCTTAAACGATTATATAACCTAAAAGTGGGGCAACCAAGAAATAATATGTTCATTAGCAGTTGAGGATGGATCTGAGTAAAGAATATCAACATAAAATTAAGATGAGAAAGTTAATAAAATCTAGCAAATTCCAGAAGGTGATAAAAGTCAAGGGGGGATTGGCATGGCTTGGCGATTGAAAACTGAATACCACATAAATGTACTGGAAGTAGGGCACTATGGATCGTATAATATATGATCTCTTCAGACACCTGCCATGCATTTTACAAATTTTAAGATTATAAAAGTTTAAAGAAGGATTAAAGTGAGGTTGATGCATGGGAGCTTAATATTGTTCTTATGAAATAATTAAATATATACCTCATATATAAACAATCTCCACAAAACTGTCCTTGAACCAAGTTGCATTTGCTGCAGTGAGTATGATGACCAAGAGTTTTCTGCCTGCAAAAGCATGGGAAATTCATCAATAAGCAAAAGTGAATAACCATCTACGGTCCAGGGCAAAAGTTAATGGGGAATGCAAATCGGTGACCTTTGAAACCAAGTATTTCAACAATACAATATCCAAAAAATAAAAATAAAAATAAGGGATTCATTTTAAATATTGATAAATTGATTTGAATCAAATCTTAGTCTGTTTGCTTTATTCCTAATATCATAATCAACTAAGAAAGAAAACCCCTAAGATACCTATCCTAGTTAAATTAGAAATAGAAACACTATTATAAAACTATTAAACAACTTTCACTTTTGAACAAATACTTCTAACCTTAAATCATAAAATTTTAAAAGATATTCTCAAAGAGGAGGGGAGGAGTTCAAGTCCGGGCGTGGGCAATGTGTGTGTGAGTACTTACCTGTTAAAAAATAAAAATAAAAAAAATGAAGAAGAATAAGAAGAAGTACAAAGATATCAATATGTAAAATCAATACTAAAAGTAATATGGAAATGGACGAAATTAGCTCAAACTACTCTGATAATACCCCACAGTTAGCTTAATTGATCAACATGATCTCAAAAAGATTTAAAAGAAAATGCAAAAACCCTCTTCATCAAGCTTCAAAGCAAGGAAAGCATCCTCATAGGCTAATCCAAATTCTCAATGAAATGAAGTTAATAATATATATATATATATACACACGCACTCAAAAAGATTTAAAAGAAAATGCAAAAACCCTCTTCATCAAGCTTCAAAGCAAGGAAAGCATCCTCATAGGCTAATCCAAATTCTCAATTAAATGAAGTTAATAATATATATATATATACACACACACACCAAGAGAATGAAATTAGTAATAATAGAACTCAACTTAAACAACACCTGATGCAATTTTCTAGCTACTAACTTTGACAAGTGAATAAAGATGCTCAAATATAGTCCTTGCCAAAATATATGAATGAAGATGATTATACAGAATCCAGCAAAGTCAAGCCCGACATGTTTAAGGAGGCCATATTTATGATTATATACAGATTGCATAATCATAGGAAACAAAGGAATTTTTTTCCCCAACAATCTTTCAAGATATGAATTTGTAAAGAAATTCCTAACAATATGCAAAAATGAAACACACTTCAACCTATGTAAACCAATTTTGCGGTTAAAACCCCAGACCTGCACTGATGACAAGTTTTTCCGATGACTTGATCATAAATTCGCCTCCCATCCTTGTCATATCCATCGACAAATAGAGTCCAACTCATCTCAGTGCTTCCCAGCAGCTTTTCATGTTCTTCTGTGTAAACCTCTGGCCTGGATCCCTCCCCTATTAAATCAGCTTCACCATCCAAGGATTTATCTTTCTTAGCCAAAGGTGCTTCAGAGTAGCTAACTGGTGTTGTATTCTGCAACCTAGTTCCCACCAAAAGGGGGAAAAAGACCAATGCACAGCTCCATCAATATTAATTCAGTTCATATAAAAGTTCAAAACACAATTCTTACTCCAGTACAACATATAAGAAGCATTAAAAACTAAAACTGCCCTCTAAACTTATCAACATCCAAAAATACAGTATGTTATTGCAAAAACCGATCAATACAACAACTTGAAACCACTGAAAACTAAGAATCCTGTAGGTAGAACATTCCACACTCTACTCTATATACCATCCATTTAAGCAGCTATTCGCCATGCTATATACTGACATGTAATTGGGATTTCAACGAGGTTGTGGTTTTGTGAGTCAAGAGGGTATTGCTGGCTAGGAATGATGCCATGGGAACTTTGTTGAGATGACAGGACTCTAGCATTGAGATGATGGTCATGATGGTATAACTTTGTTGAGAGTTCCAGCCTAGAAAGGGGCATGTTGTGGGACTGTGTGTGTGTTCGCTTAACTTTCAAAGAAAGCATTGAGGACCAACAACACCATTATAACAACCAAATACCCATTCTTTAATCATTCATGGTCTTACATCAATATTAACAAAGCCGGCACAGGCAGCTCTGCTGGTAACGCCTTTGGGGTTTTAGGTTTAAATCAAAACACCCGCTTACATGATATGTGGGGTTTGTGGGTGATTGCATATCTTCAAAGTTTGCAAACCATCCGAGAGTTCAAAGCGGCTAAAGGGTAGGTTAATTCTTCGTTACCCAAAAATAAATAAAAAATAGAAATCAATTTTAATAAAATCAAATGACCCCATCCTTAGAAACCAGTAAAATATTGACTAGAAAACAACTTAAAAACCATCAAAGTGAAAAATATCCATAAGCTAAACTGGAACAGACAATCAATAGGTGGAAATGAGGCAATGGAGTACCGGGAAGAGCGGCGAGGGGGTCCAGAAGGCCCCGGCAGAGGAGAGAGACGCTGAGGAGTTCTGCGATTGAAGTGGCTTCTTTTCTGAGCGGAACTGAGAGAGTTGAGTTTGAGAGAGAGATCAACAATGCCGAGTTTTTGCATTCTCTCACGATTCTCTCTGATTCTCTCCTCTCTGGACTGCTCGTAGCCTGAAACCTTGTGGGTTTCGTTGGTCTGCGTCTGGGATTCGCCATTATCGCTGATTCGATGATTACTGGAGTTCGATGGAGTTTCTAGGGTTCGGGCTCTCTTTCTCAGTATCACCATTGTTTCTCTCTCTACTCTCCAACGGTCGACTGTGAGTACATAAACTATGAAGAGACTGGCGAGGGAAACTTTTTAGGGGGTGTTTGCCCCTATTGAAAGGACAGGCCCAATTATTTATTATGGATACCTTGGAGACTGTGTGGGCCGGTCCAGTCAATCTATGTGGTAAGAGTTGTAGTGGTGTGTTTTTGAAAATTAAAGCCTCTTGGTAATCATTTTATTTTGAAATTATAATTGTATAAAAATTCTGCTATATTATATACACAAACACGCATATATATGGTTTGTATTGTAATACTCCAATTTTAATATGACAGTCCCAAAAATATTGAAATAGAAAATCCATGATTGTGACCATTATGCTAACATTGCAAAAGTTAAGGTTTTGTTGCTGATAGATGAAACAATCTGCATGCTCTCTTTCTAATTGGAAAATGTAATGAATATGTATATATATGTATATGTATATGTATATGTATAGAGTAATATTTATTAGAGAAACTTTCACACAGAGAAAGCGAGAGAGAGAACACGAGAGAGAGAGAGAGAGAGAGAGAGAGAGAGAGAGAGAGTGACTTTTCATTCAAGTGTCTCCAAATGGTACGTACACATGGCCTTATATGGGCTTAGATTTTAGCTTCTATGGTAAGACTCAAATGGAGTTTTCACTGTAAGACTCAAATGTGATCTCATGGATGACATAAAACATTTAGGGACCCCACACATTTATGAAATATATATAACACTCCCCCTTGGGTCCACAAAACTAAACTAAGAATATATTTCGTTAAAACCTTACTAAGGAAAACCCAGTAGGACAAAACTCTAACAAAGGGAAAAGAGTACAGTATTCTTGTGTATCTGAAAATGGTGTTGCATAAATTAAAACTGCCTCATTAAAACCTTGCTAAGAACCTAGTGGAAAAAACCATAGCGAAGGAAAAAGAGTACAATATGCCAATACCTTTTCGATCACTTGTTCCCCCTCATTAGTTCAACCCTGAAGATGCTTTAGTTAACGCATTCCAATGTTGTCCACTAACTTCTTGAATGTTGTAGTTGGAAGCGTTTTAGTAAATAAATCTGCTAGATTATCACTCGAGCGTATCTACTGAACATCAATATCACGGCTCTTCTGGAGCTCGTGTATGGAAAAGAATTTTAGTGAAATGTGCTTGGTTTTGTCACTTTTTATGTATCCTCCTCTTACCTGTGCAATACATGCTGTATTATCTTCATATAATATTGTTGGACTATCTTTGATTGAGAATAGTCCACATGATTCTCGAATATGTTATATAACAGATCTCAACCAAACACACTCTCTACCCGCTTCATGAATTGCGAGTATCTCAAAGTAATTTGAGTAAGTTGCAGTCATGGTCTGTTTCATAGATCACCATGATATAGCAGTATCACCACAAGTAAACAAATACCCTGTTTATGATCGGGTTGTATGTGGGTCAGAAAGATAACCTGCATCTGCATATCTGATCAACTGGGGCTTTGATTTTCTTAAATAAAATAACCCCATATCAGTCGTTCCCCGAAGGTAACGCATAATGTGTTTGACCCCATTCCAATGTCTTCGAGTTGGTGCAAAACTATACCGTGCTAGTAAGTTGACTGCAAATGCTATATCAGGTCTGGTACAATTCGCAAGGTATATTAGAGAACCGATTACACTAAGATATGGTACTTTAGGGCCAAGAACTTCTTCGCCTTCTTCTTGAGGACGAAAAGGATATTTCTTAACATCAAGTGATCGGATAATCATTGGAGAACTCAATGGGTGAGCTTTATCCATATAAAAGCGCTTTAGGACTTTTTCAGTGTATGTTGACTGATAGATAAAAATTCCACTTGGTTAATGTTCGATCTGTAGGCCGAGACAAAATTTTGTTTTATCAAGATCTTTCGTTTCGAATTCTTTCTTTAAATAATTAACAGTCGTGGTGAGCTCTTCGGGAGTTCCCACAAGATTTAGATCGTCAACATATACAGCTATAATGGCAAATCCAGATTTTGATTTCTTGATGAAAATGTATGGACAAACTTGATTATTCACATATCCTTCTTTTAGTAAATATTCGCTGAGTCGATTGTACCACATGTATCCGGATTGTTTCAATCCGTACAAGGGTCGTTGTAGCTTAATTGAATATATGGTACGTGGTTTCAAGCTATTTGCTTTAGGCATTTTAAATCCTTCAGGGATTTTTATATATATGTCACTATCTAGTGATCCATATAAATAAGCTGTAACGACGTTCATCAAATGCATATCCAGTGCTTCTGAGACTGTCAAACTGATCGAGAAACGAAATGTGATTGCATCCATCACTGGAGAGTATGTCTCCTCATAATCAATACCAGGTCTCTGCGAGAAACATTGGGCTACCAGTCGGGCTTTGTATCTTATAATTTCATTTTTCTTATTATATTTCCTTACAAATACCCATTTGTACCCTACAGGCATGACATCTTCAGGTGTTTGGACTACAGGTCCAAATACTTCACGTTTTGCTAATGAGTTTAGCTCTGCCTGTATTGCTTCTTTCCATTTTGGCCAATCATTTCTACATCGACGCTCTTCGACGTTTTGAGGTTTAGGATCCTCATTATCACTTGCAATATCAAGAGCAACTGCAAAGGAGAATATATCGCTAATAATAACTGTATTTCTATCCTATAATTCTCTATAGTTTATTAAGATCTCATTATTTTCAGGTATCAGTACCTCTTCAGGGGCTTGTGCCACTTCCGGCGCATGTGCCACTTCTGGGGCTACTTGCTTATAAAATTTAGATTGATTAATTATTTTCGTTGTTCCTTTTGCAAGTGTGACTTCTTCAAGAGTGCCAATTACTTGATTTGTTTTCTCTTGTACTTTCCTCTTTCGGGGAACAGTGTCTTTTACACCGAATGGTTTACCACGCTTCAGCGTGTCTTAGATGCATTTGCAGTAACACTGACAGACTGTCCTACAGGAACATCAATTCTTGCTTGAATGTTTGCAGCAGGTATATGTGATTTCATCACTTTCTTTGTGTCAGTGAATGCATCGGGTAATTGATTTGCAATACTTTGTAAATGAATGATCCTTTGAACTTTTAGTTAACATTGATTTGTGTGAGGATCAGAATAAGATAAAATCGAAACATTCCAATTAATAACTCGTTACTCTTCTGGCTTTTTCTTTCCCCCCCCCCCCCCCTAATGGAGGGAAAATAGCCTCATCGAAATGACAGTTAGCAAACCATGCCTTAAAACCATCAATATCTAATAATAGATAGAAAATCAAAACCTACATAAATACCAAGTCGTCGTTGAGAACCCATTTTGGTGCGTTGTGGGGGTGCAATGGGAACATATACAGTGCAACCGAAAACTCGTAAATAAGAAATACTTGGTTGTTGACCAATCACAAGTTGTAGTAGTGAAAAACTATGATATGCAGTTGGTCTAATGCGAACTAGTGATGCTGCATGTAATATCGCATGTCCCCAAGCAGAAATAGGTAGTTTAGTTCCAACAATAGTCTAGCTATTAACTAAAGACGTCTGATAAAAGATTCTGCAAGACCATTTTGGGTGTGAGTATGTGCAATAGGATGTTCAATAAGAATACCAATTGACATGCAATAGTCATGAAATGATTGAGATGTGAATTCCCTGGCATTATCAAGACGGATAGTTTGGATTGGATAATCCAGAAATTGTGCTCGTAATCTGATTATTTGAGCAAGGAGTCGAGCAAATGTAACATTACGAGTAGAAAGTAAACTTACGTGTGACCACCGCGTTAATGCATCAATTAAGACCATAAAATACCGAAATGGTCCACGCTGGATGAATTGGTTCACATATATCCCCTTGAATTCATTGTAAAAATGGTGGGCATTCAACAATGACCTTGGAAAGTGATGGTCTGACTATTAATTTACCCTGTGAACAAGCGGTACAAAGATAATCATTTGCTAAAAGAATCTTCTGGTTCTTTAATGGATGACCATGTGAATTTTCAATGATTCGGCGCATCATTATTGACCCAGGATGACCAAGGCGATCATGCCAAAGTATAAAAATATTTGGGTCAGAGCACTCCTGGTGCGTCACTGCATATGACTAAATTACTCTTATATTTGTATAATATAATCCAGAAGATAAAGTAGGGAGTTTTTCTAATACATGCTTCTGGCATGTAATACAAAGATATTCAACGCCCCCTTCATTTATAGTCTCAATATGATAACCATTGAATCGTATATCTTTAAAACTTAATAAATTTCTTTTGGATTTGGTAGAGTATAAAGTATCATCAATATTCAATTTTGTTCCACATGGTAACACAATGATAGCTCTTCTGGAGCCTGCTATTAGATCTGATAGACCTGATATTGTATTGACATAAGCTTCAACTAATGTTATACGCGAAAAATATTTTCAATCTCGAAGTATAATGTGCGTTGTTGCACTGTCTGCCAGACATATATCTTCACCATTTATCTTAGATAAAGTCAATGCCTTAGTCAGATCCATGCTTCTTCATACACAAAATATATATTTCATTACTTCAAATTTGAAATACAAACTAGATTTACATACAAGATAGCCAAAATAAAAACAAACGGATACAGATAAGATAAAACACACAAGGGATAATATGCTAGAGAAGGACACATTAATTGGTAAAGACATTTCCATCACCAATCAAATGATCAATACTACCACTAGGATCAGCAAAGAAGTCAGAAACATCAAGTTGAGTAATATCAACTGGTAAGTCGTCATCCACAAAATTCATTTCAATTTCCTTTCTTTTTCCCTTATCATTCATTGAGGCACGGTAAAGATCAACTAGATATTTGGGCGTACGACAGGTACGCGACCAATGACCTTTCATTCCATATCTATAACAAGGCTTGTCATCATATATCTCAAAAGCTTTATTCTGTAAAGCTTTTCCTTTTGCCTGCTTAGTCGCATTTGAATTCCACT